ACCCGAAAGTGAGGCCATGCACAAGTACATTTCTGAATCCCTTAAATCCAGTATCATTTGTCCTTCTTCCTCCCCTGCAGGTGCAGGGTTCCTTTTCGTGGGTAAGAAGGATGGTTCACTCAGGCCATGTATTGATTATAGGGGTTTAAACGACATCATGATAAAAAACAAATACCCACTACCGCTCATGACCTCCGCCTTTGAACTTATTTCTAGAGCCAAGATTTTCACTAAACTCGATCTCCGCAATGCATAGCACCTTGTAAGAATCCGTGAGGGTGACGAATGGAAAACAGCCTTTAACAYCCCCTCCGGTCACTACGAGTACCTGGCAATGCCCTTTGGTCTTACTAATGCCCCTGCTGTTTTTCAGGCTCTTGTTAACGATGTCCTCAGGGATTTTATTAACGTCAATGTTTTTGTGTACCTTGATGACATTCTTATTTTTTCTAAAGATCTTGAGTCTCACATCCGTCACGTTCATGCCGTCCTCCTCAGACTCCTTCAAAATAACCTCTACGTTAAAGCAGAAAAATGTGAGTTTCATACCACCAATACCACTTTCCTAGGATTCAACATTTCTCCTGACCAGATGTCCATGGATCCCTCCAAGGTCTCTGCCGTGTTGGACTGGCCTATACCACAGTCACGTAAGCAACTGCAAAGGTTTTTAGGTTTTGCAAATTTCTACCGAAAATTTGTCCATAATTATAGCTCTGTGGCCTCTCCTTTACATTCTCTGACCTCAATTAAGAACTCCTTTGTATGGAACGACCAAGCTAACCAGGCCTTTCTCAAACTGAAGTCTCTGTTTACCTCTGCCCCTATCAAGTTCCCTGACGTAGAGAGACAGTTCATCGTAGAGGTGGACGCGTCTGACACCGGTCTTGGAGCTGTCCTGAGCCAACGTTTTGACGACGATAAGGTACACCCATGTGCTTTCTTTTCTAAGTCCCTCTCCCCAGCTGAACGTAACTACGATGTGGGCAATTGTGAACTTTTGGCCGTCAAAGCTGCCCTGGAGGAATGGCGGCACTGGTTGGAGGGGGCCAATCTCCCATTCATTGTACTCACTGACCATAAGAACCTGGAATACCTTCGCTCAGCCAAGAGGCTCAACCCCCGTCAAGCCAGGTGGGCACTATTTTTTGGAAGGTTTAATTTCTCTCTGTCCTACAGACCAGGTACCAAGAACATCAAGCCGGACTCCCTCTCCCGTATCTACGAGAAGGAACAGACCTGTGACCGTGATGAGTTCATCCTTCCACAGAAAGTGCGTCTTGCTGTGATGCAGGTCGAGAGGGAGGTCCGGGAGGCCCACCAGAACTACCCACCACCAAATGAATGCCCGGATGACCGACTCTTCGTCCATGATCACCTCATTGCCAGGGTACTACAGTTCTGTCATGCATCTCCTGTATTTTGTCATCCGGGCATAAGTAAAACTGAGGATTTAGTTAGGTCACAGTTCTGGTGGGGTTCCTTATCTAAGGACGTTAGAGAGTTTGTTGGGGCTTGCACCCAATGCTCCCAGGCCAAACCCTCTCAACGTCCACCAGCGGGTCTCCTTCAGCCGCTTCCCATTCCCTCACGCCCTTGGTCTCACCTTGCCATGGACTTTGTTACAGGCCTGCCACAGTCTGGGGGTAAGTCTGTCATCCTTACTGTCATAGACAGATTTTCTAAGATGGTCCATCTCATAGCCCTAGAGAAGTTGCCCACGTCTAAGGAACTGAGTGACATCATGATTAAGGAAGTCTTTCGACTTCATGGCTTACCTAAGGACATCGTGTCCGATCGTGGTCCTCAGTTCATCTCYAAATTCTGGTCTGAATTTTGCACTTCTCTAGGGATTGAACTAAGCCTGTCTTCAGGTTTCCACCCCCAGACTGATGGTCAGGCGGAGCGAGCCAACCAAGAAATGGAGACCCGTCTGCGTATCCTCTGCGG